GAGTGTAGTTCGGGCCACGGGAGTAGAAAATGCTAAAGGGACTTGTTTAATTTTTATTTCGCTATGTGAGACGCACCGGAGCTAATTGAATCGATGGCGGAGCTAATTCACTCGACGAGTCAGGCCTATTGGCAAAGCTAAGATCGGTTATAATTCGCTAAGTTCGACGCTTTCGAACTTCTCGGGTCGCTGAGATCGTAACGCTAATTCTCTGAGATGGTGAAGTCGAAACTTGTTTTTCTGTACACTACTTTGTACAATTTATACTACAGGAATGGCTTTGCGACCGTCCGGAGATAAATAACAAATAACCGCCGCTACCCACAGGATTGCTCAGCACTTGCCACCGCTATACCATGCACCATACGACTCTCTTGCACTCCCACTTGCTCGTCCCAACCCCTAGAGGTCGCCTTGACGCTCTGCCACCTGATCCAAGCGGTCCCATCACTCTGTGTGACGCTCCGGTCACGTGCTAATTACCTCCGGCCGCTTGCTGACTGATGCTGGCCTCATGGTGACTCGTATGCGTCCGCACCTTCGGTATCTTGACAGAAACGAGGGGGAGTGAGTGCTGGAGGGTGGGCATGAGGACGATGCCCCTCGATAGAAGTGCCCACGGCCCCGGAGCTAATTCATCTAGAAGTTGCGTTGGTTAAGTCGCTCCGGAGCTCCTGTTTGCGGAGATAAATCGCGGAATGGGTCCGTGTACGCCTCGAGGACGCTAGGAAGTCCGGAGCTAAATAGAAAAAGTCTTTTAGAGCCCATAGAAGCCTAGAGGCGTGCGAGCGCTGTGTCGAATAAGCTCCGGAGGGCTTGTACGATGCACTGAGTCCGCGTTTTCGGGGGTCAGACGATCCCGAGGCTTATCAACGCCATATCCACTCAGCGACTTCTGCACCCCACTCTCCCCTTGTCCAGAGCATAAAGATAATACAGGACTAAGATGATCATGCCCTTCCAATACAGCGGTGTTCACCTTACCGCCCTTACATGCGTAAAGTTCCCCGAACGTCCTGACAGCATCCGAGAGATAACGGGGCTCTCTAGCAGTCATCAAGTTACGCAGGGGAGGCCACAATGCGAGCCACTCCTTCTGGGATTGATGCAGCATCCCTACAGCTGTTTGCAGATCGATAGACCACCAATTCGGAAAATCGCGTATAGTCGGAGTGGGTCAGAGTGGGTGCCAGGGACGTCGGAAGAAGGTGGGGAAGTCCAAATGGTCTGGTTTCCGTCTCTCGGGGACTTACAATTGCTTGTCCAACATGGTCCGACTGTAAATGATTTTTGAAAAGTGGGCCCATCAATCTGCAAACGGCTGTAATGGCTGGTGAACTGAAATCTTCTTCGCGCCTGCGTAATAAACTTCCGCGGCGTTGCGAAAATCAGCCGTTGTCTTGTTGATCACGGGTATTTCATAGGGTACGCTGAAGAGGATCACGCCCTTGACGTGGATGGATACGTCGTAGAGAGAGGGTTTTAGCAGGTATCCTGCGACGTGGACGCCTCCAGCGGAGTGCCCCATGATAAATATGCGCTCGACATCGCCCACATCATTCAGGTGAGTAGTAATCCAGGTGAGGGCTCTCAGGACGTCTTCAGAGCCCCCAGGAAAAGTGACAGAGGGAATGAGTCGGTAGTTAGTGATGACCGTCATTGCTTTCAGAGAAAAGGATGCTCCGAGATTAGCGTGGATGAGGTCGTGATCTGGCAGATGCGTGCGCCGTGTGTGAATCCGCCGCCGTGGAAGAAGAGGAGGATAGGTGGTTTCGACGGTACAGAAGAGACGGACATGGAAGTGGAATCGTCAGGCAAACTCGGACTGTATACATCCAGCTACAAAGAATTAGCACTCCCAAAATAGTCTGTCTAGTCATATACCATGCCTTGTGAGCATCCGCGAAGCCGTAGTCATACGTGACTCGCTTGATGGCTCGTAGCTCTTCCGACTCGGTGTAACCTGCAACAAATGTATGTGAAACGGTCAGAACCATTATAGTCTCGTGGAATAGCCGTGCTCAGTGGCACTTTATGTGAACACCCACATCAGGAAAACCCTCCCAAGCTAGTCAGACATAATTTAGACAAAATTATGCATGATGACAAAAATCTTTGTTATATGTATAATGGCTGCATAATCCAGAATGACCAACAGCTAATCTACATGTCCCAGTTTCAAAAAAGTAATATACAGTTTTTAGCAACTCTAGGACATGGTCTTGCGTTAATATGTTTGGGCAGTTCCTTGAGACTGCCTCCGTGCGCGATCTCTGCAGTCATTGCTGCAGGGCAAGTATATGAAGTAATTTGATGAATAGTCACGTACCCTGCATAGCATCCATCCCACCGCACAGTTTCGGTGTTCGAGCTACTAATAGTAAGGAATGAAAGGAGGAAACCCACAGGTGCCACGACGCGTATCGAACCCGTGCGAACCCACATTGATGGTGCGGGTACGCGGGTACCTGCAGGTTTCGGTTTCGAGGGCACGTTAAACAACGCATCCTCGATACCCATCAGGTCACAGGTACGGCGAAACACGACCCGTACCCATGCCAGGATAAGGAGGTGACCCGTGCCATTCATGCAAGCATAGTCTTCGGGTTCACTGAGATGCGGTTGTTCTTTGTATCAGCGAGTCTTCACCTGCTTGATATCAGCCAAGTAACAGGGAGCCGACAGACACCTGCGAACGGACCGGAACGGTTACCAGCTGAGCTCCAGGAAGACTCGG